GAGGCGCAGGAGCGGCGGCGGCGGCTCCCGAGCACCCGAGGGGGTCCGAGCCCCGGCAGCTAGCCAACCCCGCGCCACAAAGGGAGCGCCCCCGCCGCCTGGCACGCCACCTCCCTCCCCAATGTCCTCGGCCATCGAGAGGAAGAGCCTGGACCCATCTGAGTAAGTGTGGCTCCCCTTTCCCCTCCACCCACGATATCCATGGCCTCGCGCCCGGAGGCAGCAGGGTGGTGCGGATAGCTGGCGAGTAGGCTCAAGGTGCGCGCCCGCAACGTGCCCTTGGCTCCCTCTGCCTTCCGCGGGGCTCCCCCGTTCTCTCGGGGGACTCCGGAGCACCGGGAGTGGGGCTGGGTGGCGGGCGGCAGGGAGAGGAGGTCGGCCCAGCGCTTCTGCGGGCCCCTCCCGCAACCTGGGACGCTCCCCAAAGCCATCGCCGGCCAGAAAGTTTACACAGGAGCAGGCACAGGGGAAACTCGGAGGCGCGCAGGTGCAGTCCCGACAGCATTAGGAGCTCGACTCTGCTCCCTTCCCCCCTCGCATTCCTTCCCGGTCCCCCTTTTTCTTTGTCCACGTGGTCCTGGAAAGGGGGACATTCCAAGTGGAGGCCTCCCGAGTCCCCGATGGTCCCTTCCCGGACCGCAGGTGGAGCGGCTGCCCGCAGCGCCAGGGACAGGCGGGTGAGGGGAGTGCGAGCGTTCACCTCAGAGCTCACGCAGGCCTCCAGAGGCTTTAGAGTAGCTAAGTACGGAGTTAATCTCGATACACGTACCCTCCTCGCCTCTCGGGGTCCACCGATGGGGACCTTTGAACCTAGAAAGTTAGTGCACCATTTTGTGTGTAGGTGAATTCTTCTGGGGAGCAGAGTTTCACGACTTTTATCACAGTCTCAAAGGGTTTAAGGGTCAGGGAACCAGAGCGCTAATGAACTGCATTTGTTTTCTGAGCCTCTTACTGGTTTGAAATATCCCCTTCCCAGCATATACCTTCAACCCATTCCTTAGTGTTAACATTGGGGAGAAAGGGTTGTTTAAGATATCATTTTCCCTGTCAGCGCAAATGCCCTTTTAAGATTCATTAGCTGTCTGGTTTTGAGAATTTTTATTCCTTTGAAGTCCCCATCTAATCCTTTGAAGGGATTTGTTACACAGACCAAAGGAGCTGGTTAATGACTTGTCCATTTGTGCTTTTAAGAGGCATTTATTTTGTTTTGTTTTGTTTTGTTTTCTTGCTTTGAAAGAATTGTGCTTTCCTGATTGAAGTAACCCCTCCTCCCAATTTCAGTCTCCTATGGTGTTTATATACCTGGGTTTTACCCTCAGTTACCAGCATAAAAGCTCAGCATGTTCTCATAAAACACAGGAAGTACCATGATCCAGTGAGAATATAAACATCACTATTCAATCTTGAAGGTTCAGAGCCAGTTCTATAAGGAGCTAGGTTGGTTCTATCAAAAGCCCAGTTTCCTTAAATTCGTAGGAGAAAAATAACATTCCGTTTTAAAAGTAAATATCTACAAAAACACTGGGTTTAAAGGGGGGTGGTTTGCTCTTTTATTTTATTTTATTTTTTTACAAACCTAGAATTACAACTTAGCCCTGAGTTTTTAGAGCCTAGGCAAGACCATAGTACTATAATAAAAGAGTGAATTGGATGAATTACCTTTGAAAGGTGCCTAATGTCTTTTCAGTCAGCAGAACTTAGTCACTAATCTTTTTATTAGAAGATAAATCTGGAGGTTTCAGTTCCCTGGAGGAAGTTTGCTCTTTTCAAAGTTTGTGCTTTTTCACAGAGATAAGAAAATTGAAACATCTTAACCTCGTAACACAGCAGACACTACTGAAGGATGCTCCTCTGCTCCATCCTTTGCTTTACTATTTGCCCATTGAAGACAGGCTCTCATCAGAGATGGACCAGCTAGCTGAGAAATTACTGCGACACATCCCCCCTCCCCTATCTCTCTTGGAAATTGTTGAGAAATTATCCCAGAAACCCAGGCTGAAGTATATTCAGGTGTAATATTCAGATGGGCTCTAGGAGAATATAAAATATTCATTTGAGGGTGAATCCTACTCAGTTATTGTCTTGGAATATCCACCAAAGATAATGTGATATTATCATTAATTATAGAAAGATAGATAGAGCCAATATCTTATACTGTCCTTTCCTATCTCATGTCAGGCCATCACAATAGCTCTTTCGCTTAACATTTCTACTAAGGACCACTATCCTACCAGATGCTCTATTGTGGGCTTACTTGGGTCAGTACAACTGGGGTCAGTCTGATCAGCATCTCCAAATTACACAGAGTAGCTTGCCTAGGTATATGCATGTGGAATAGTTAGACAGAAAGGCAGCCAGAATTCATGAACACGGTCATTTCCTCTACTGTGCAATCAGTGGCCCCTGCCGCCTCCCTGTGAGTAACAAGAGCAGTTCATTTTAATTCCAGGCAGTTTTGCACCAGCTAAGTGCAAATTCTCTCCTTTCACAGTTGGTTGGCAGGATCAGCATTAGGGCATTCAGCGGTGTTGAGGTTCCACGAGTGTTTTTGAAAGCCTTAGAGTCAGACCACGGGCTGTGGAAAGGGAAGAGACGCGATTCTCAGCTGACACACAGGAAAATGTAGGGTGTGCTGTTTTTCAGGAGGGAGAACGGCAGTCCTTACGTATAACCCGTGGAAACAAAGCAAAGCAAGTCAGGCTTCAGTGAATTCTTAAAACTTGAATTTTTAGGAGAAAACTTGTTTGAATTTCACATTTCCTTGTTCTAAAAGGAGATCATCACACGAAGCACACATGTTCTACAAAGTGTTGGCTCAGTTTCAGTATTCCGAAATATTCACAGGGAGGTGTGCACTTTACAGACAGAGTCGCCTGGGGCTGTCACAGTGTGTTATCAACAGTGATTCCCTGAGCCTCACCATCCCCAAGTGTAAATGGTTGTGGTCACAGGCCAATCAGGACACAAGGTCACTTGGTAAGTTAGTGTCAGCTGGAAATGGGAGACGCAGATTTACAGCCTCCAGGTACTGAGGGGGAAACTCTCTTTGGGAATTTCACAGTTGGAAGCAGGTCCATTTTTCAAAACGTAATAGATTTTTGAAAAATAGATTTGTGTTTGAGTAAGGTTCAAAAGAGTGCTTGTTAATTGATCAACAGGTATTCGGTTTTTCCTGTGTCCCACTTGGCGCAAGAATCGTTTCTTCCACTCCCTTTATTTTCTTTTGGCAAATAAAGTTATTTCTTTTAAAATGAGAAACGAAAGTATTCAGACTCCGATTAAGCAAAGTGAACTAGAGATGCTGTGTGACTTCGTAATGAAAGAACACAGATCTCAGGCTCACTGTTAACAACTGCCTGAGTAAAGATTTGAATCCTTTTAACTATCTTCCACTCTCTCAAAAACAGTCACTGCCCCCTCCCCATTTTCTTTCCTAAATCATCTTCATCTGAATCACTTTAGCTGTTGTAAAAATGTTCACGTGCAGAAGGGTCTAGTTGATGTCCTTTGTAGGGTTAACAATGGCCTTAATTAACACCTAGGATTTTTCAAGGCTTCATTCAGTAAGAAGGATGGGATGCGGAATTTCTGTTAAAAAGTAGTAATAATGAGAATTCCTATTATATCCTGATGGAATTTATCTTGCAAAGGGAAAGCAGCCTACAATAATTAGGGTTCCCTTTTCTTCTTTCTTCCTCACCTCTTCTTTCATGCAGTTGGGAGGCCTTGAGGCAGAATGGCACACAGATTCAAAAGGGAGTTTGCAGATTTTTAGCCATCTAGGTAATCCCTGCAGCGAGCAACTCTTTTAGTCCCAGGTGTCTCCTCTGGGATTGGGCGGTGCCCTTGGGTCCTGGGGATGTGAGGAGGAAAAAGGGGAAGTGTGGAGACAGAGTAGGAGGGAGAGTGGGATAAAGAAGGAGGGAGACAGAGGTGCTGAGAACGGGGCTGGACTGTGTGTGGGGCTGGGGTACCAGCTACAGTTGCCTTGGGTGCCTCTTGGCGTCCTGCACTTGCTTCTTACGGGGCCTAGAATGTAAGGTCCTACCAAGGCTGGCCGGGCCTCTCTGCAGTCTGGCCTAGGTGGATGTCCTCTCCTTTCTCCTTATGTCACCAACAGGCAATTGAGTTACGTTCCCTGTTGGGCCCAGGGTGATCCCTGACCCCCACACTCGTCTCCCTGGGATGACATTGTCCCTAATGCTTGGCCTTCTTCCCAGGGAGCCAGTGGATGAGGTGCTGCAGATCCCCCCGTCCCTGCTGACATGCGGAGGCTGCCAGCAGAACATCGGGGACCGCTACTTCCTGAAGGCCATCGACCAGTACTGGCATGAGGACTGCCTGAGCTGTGACCTCTGCGGGTGCCGGCTGGGCGAGGTGGGCCGGCGCCTCTACTACAAGCTGGGCCGGAAGCTCTGCCGGAGAGACTATCTCAGGTACCCACCCCCGACCCCCACCCCGGAGCCCCGGGCAGGGCCTGTCTCCCCCAGCTCCTGTCGCGGCCCGCCCGAGCGAGGTCCGGCAGAGGCTGGGTCTCAGCCGCCCCACGCAGAGAAGCAGGTGGCCTTTCTTCTTCTTCGAGAAGCATGATCTCGGGGATACATCCCTATGGGGTAAAATTCTGATATGTTAAAGGCGAGGGAATGATAAACACAAAATCAGAACAGCGGTTCCCTCTGGGGGGCAGACAGGGGGAGAGGGTCAGGCAGGAAGGCACAGGGAAAGCCAAAGGAACGGGGGCTTTGTAGTTTCTGAGTTTGAGGGTGGGTTCCTAGGAGCTCATTTCATGCTTCAAAACATACATGTAGGATCTAAATATGCTTTTGTAAGATTCCAATATTATGTGATGAGAAATTTTAAAATAGAAAGCATGTTCTTGCCAAGGCACAGCAGGCAGGCCATGAAGTCAGCTATAGGTTTGGGCCCCAGGACCATGGCTTTCTAGCTCTGTAACCTTGGGCAAGTTATTTAAGCTTCCTTAGTCTCGATTTTTCTCATCTGTAAAATGGGGATAATAGTGATACCTACTTCCAAGAAGGTGGTGAGGATTAGATGGGGTGATTGATACATGTAAAGGGCCTGGCCTAGTGCATGAGTGTCAAATAGGTGTTAGCTGCTCTTGCAAGTAACCCTCATGACATTCATCATTACACTCTTTAACTATCTAATGAACAAAGAGATGGAGGAATGGAAAGGCAAAATAGGAACTCTAGAACACCCACTGAGATGGGCACTGAGGCCATCTGGGATGCTCTGGGTCACACTCTTGGCTATGTGAATTTCCCTTTGCCGAGAATGTTCTAGCATTTCCAGTTTTATATTAGCTGCTGCAGAGGTAACTCTGTGCCCTCTGCTGTCAAATCTGCTCAGCTGTGTAACTGTCAGTTTTTGCCATCTTCCGGGGGCAGCGGGTCTGTGGAGCATGCAGCCATGATACATTAGGACCACCCAACCCAGCGAAGCTTGTTTAGACTCCAGTGCCCTTGGCTGCCAGGCCATCTCTTCCTCCCAAACCTGCCCTCAGAGCATTTTACAATTAAAAAAAAAAAAAAGCAAGCAATTCCATGGTGAAGGAAGCTTATCTGTTTACCCAGAGACTGACAGAATAAGCCTTTTTTTCCCTCCTAAATTCCCTGATAAAATCCTCGCAAATTTGGTGGTTCAGAGAAAAGAAGTCAGGTTTCCAAGGATCATGATTTTAATTTTGGTCAATTTTTTATTAAGTTGGAAGAAAATAGAAGCAGGATAAGTAGAGATTTTGCTCCCTACCAGTTTGCCAAGTCAGTGCAGAAAGCAGACGGGTAAATGATTCCCATTGGACCCCCTGACTACAGCCTGTCAAATCATTTGAATCTTATTAAATGAAGTACAGATAGAGTCAGGTCAAAAGAGCCCAGGCTGCTCCCTATCTCTGTGGTTTTATGTAACATTCAGGAATAAACCCCGCGCTGCCTGGGCTTGTTAATCTTTTGCATTTTTAAAAAGGAGAGGAAAAAAATAGTCTGGGAGAACCCAATGTTAATTAGCTTGTGTCTTGGTGACATGAAATTCTTCTCCCTGCTACATTCCTAGGCAACATGTTAATTAACTCTGTGTTAGCGCAGGCGTTTCCAGCCATCCTTTCATATTTATGTTATTGTTATTAAAATGGGCAGGAGGAAGCTTAAGACATGACACCTCTTGACAGAGGAGAAAAACCATTTCTTGCTGCAGGGATGGCCCTTTAGCCATGGACTTGTTTGCGTGCATTCTTAACATATCTGGCAGTGTCTTTGCAAAAGGCAAGTTGGAGGAGGGACTAAACGGGTCCTGTGATGGGGTTCAGTCCTTTTCCCAGCCACCCTCTTCACCTCTCCCCAGTCGCAGGAGAACTTCTGATGATTTCCAATGTAATTTCCAATTACAGTCCTTTTCAGACACTTAGCCTTAGATATTATGAGACCTCCATGCAGAACCTAAAGAAACCCTGTGCTATTATATTGTTTCACTGGGAACCAAGCAGTAGCTGTTAATGCCAGTGCCCAGCCCAGATCCCCTTGGATCCCCACCCTTTTTTTTAAACTAATTTTTATGAGGAGCACCCCCTTCCCGCCCCCCTCCCCCAGTGTTTTACTTTCAACATCCAGCACCTGCATCTGTTATAACCAAAAGTTTGCCCACTCCACTCCCCAGATGCCCAGCGGACCTGGCCCAGTAATGACTGGCACTGCTGGAGACTGAAGTCCTGCAGTCTTGCCTGGAGCCAGGGCCACTTGGAGACGTGACTCATACTCCTGAGTCCCTGTGCAGTCAGGCTGAATCTCCCCTCCGAGGGACTCAGCGCAGAGATAGCAAATTTGCCTGCCTTCCACCCCTTTTGTCCGGCTTCCCTCGCCACCTTACCAGTTTCCCCTGATTACACATCCTCAATAAATCCTGGCTGCAGGGTCCACTTCAGGGATATCCAGCCTAAGGCACCAATTCTTGGTACCAGGGGTGAATGCTCAAGTTTGATGTCAAGTCCTGGCTATTTTCACTATTAGGAAAGTCTCAGCACACCAGAGCTGGAAGGGGCTGCCGAGGCCTTTCTATTTCTGCCTTCTTGCTTTTCAGCTGCAGACGCAGAAGCCCGGGCAGGGGACATCATTGGCTTCGGGGCACCTGGCTAGTTAGAGGTGATGCTGGGACCTGAACTCGTCTCCCCAATGTTAGTCCTCTATCCTCTCCTTCGTTAGCTGCCTGATGTGTGTTGTAATTTACCCCCGACTTCCCTTTAATAAACGCTCTCCTCCCATAAGGGTCACACCCCCAGGCGGTTGGCTTCATTCCACACACACTGGTTTGTGAGTCGTTTATCCTCGCTCAGGCCCAAACTCAACTTACTGAATAGTCAGGAAACCAGAACTGTCTTTCCACTCCGTGACCTCCAAGGTGGCAGTTCCCTACAGCTCCACCATCTGCTGCCTCAGGATAAAATGTTCTCCCCCAGTAATGAGTTTGCTCCCAGGTGGTGCCTTGAAAACACTCGGAGATCTTCAGATGAAAAGTGGGATGTGGAGGGAAATTAGCTGGCCAGGCTGTAGCCACGAGCTCTCTACCCACAGACCACGTCTTCCTGATTCCATTCATTTTGCCCACATGTTTCAAAATTTGTCAACTGTCCTTACCTCCCCTACGACCCCCAGAGTGTACCAGCTGTTTCTCTGCTGTTCTGAAGTTAATAAGAACTTCCTGGGAGAACATGCATTCACCTGAAACTACCCTAAAGGTTTTACGTGGGAAGGACCTGCTGACATGTCATATGATCAGGCACGTGCAAAAATGATTTCTTGCAGCAAGACTGCCACCATTGGGAATACCCCTGAGATGCGTTAAAATACAGCCAGCGTTGGCTTTGCCCTTGGCCACTGGTGCTTTGACACGCTGCAGTTGATCCTTCTAACAGCCAAATGAGGTGAACGCTCTGATCACTGCCATTGCACTAGCCCAGAGCAATCATATGTCTCACCAGGGTTGCTCAGGTACTCAGGGCTAGTCCTGGACTGAATCCGAGTCTTCTGATCCCAGTGCTTGTGCCATCCCACTCTTGCGGGCTGATTCTCAAACTTCAGCCTGCATCAGAATCACCTGGAAGTGCTCAGGAACACACAGACACACAGCTGGGCATCACCCTGAGTGTCTCAATCAGGGCAGCATGAGTGTGCATTCCTAGCAAGTTCTCAGGTGATGCAAATACGGCTGGTCCAGGACCACACTCCGGAAACCACCGCCCTAGGCTCTGCCCTGTTGCATCTCTCACTCTGACATTGAACGTTGCTTGAAATCAATGACCAATCAACTGAGACTTAGTTCTGACATTTCAATGTCAGAAGAGGAGTTTCTCCAGAGCCTCATGCCATCTGGGCAGCGAGGATCTTGAATTCAGTCCTTCTGTTCTATGTGGCGAGATGCTGTTTGTCCTCCAGATCTCTGCGGCATGATTAACCACACGTGTTTTCTGTTGAACTCCCTCTGTCTCCCAGTGAACAACCAGGTGGAGATGGCCTTTGTAGCTTTGAAGGAGTTTCAAGACCAACCCTTCCCCTGGGTGGAACTAGTGGCAGTTGATGTGATAGAATTTGGGGGCCTCAGAAAGATGCCCATTTCATTGTGTTCCTGGTCAGTTTCCTCTCAAAGGGGCCCCAGGGGTTTACTCCTGCTCCTCCTCTTCTAAAATGAAAAGTTCCTCTGGGAGGAGGCACACCACCCATGCCTAATCGTCTTGAATCACTTCAGCTGAGAGTCTTTTCCACAGAGGCGGGGCCAGGGCAGCCTGCAGGCATGAAGTGTGGTTGCAGCAGGCAGGGAGAGCTCAGCAAAGGGATGTGAGTTATGCCAAACCCAAATGCCACAGATACAGTTTCATCCCAGAGGACCCTCTTCCTTCTAAGAGCAACTACGCACGAGTCGGCCGTCTGTCTGGACCCAGCTCATCCTTGCTTCCCGCCATCCTGGAAATCCATCCTCAAGCCCTGCCTTCCAGTGTTCTCTGCCACTATCTTCTTAGCTTTTCTCTCTTTTTTGTCCTCCAGGCTTTTTGGCCAGGACGGTCTCTGCGCTTCCTGCGACAAGCGGATCCGTGCCTATGAGATGACGATGCGGGTGAAGGACAAAGTGTACCACCTGGAGTGTTTCAAGTGTGCCGCCTGTCAGAAGCATTTCTGTGTGGGCGACAGATACCTCCTCGTCAACTCCGACATAGTGTGTGAACAGGACATCTACGAGTGGACTAAGATCAATGGGATGATATAGGCCGGGGCCCGGCACCCCCGGGGAGGCGTTTCACTGAAGTCACTGTCTCCGCGGGGTCTTCACTCTTAGGCATTTTGGGGGATTTGAGGGTGGGTTGAGGCATTTCTTAGGGGGTGTAGACCCTGACTGGGCACCAAGAAGCGAGACACAGCATCTAAGGGACAGAATGCAAGGGACAAAACTAAAGGTGACAAAATGACTGGCCTCTAGGGAGAACTTCAGGACAGTGCCCACAGCCTGTTGGTAATAACTGACATGACTAGTGAAGGACAGGAGTGTTGGGAGGCGCTGGGCCATCATGGTGGGACTTCCCATCTACAGATGGGGACTTGTTCCGTCAAGACTCGTTATGTCTTTGACCCTTGAAAACTAGAGACGTGCAATTGATTTCTTTTCTTCCTGGCTTTTATGACAACCCTGTTCCAATCACTGTCCTCCGCACAAGGGAAGGACAGAGAGAAGAGTGGCCATCCTTTCCTTCCTGGCCACCTTCCCAAGGCCTTAAGCTTTGGACCCAAGAGGCACTGCATGGAGACAACATTTCAGTTGAGAATGAAAACTGCAACTTTTAACCAAACAATTATTTAAAGCAATGCTGAGGAATCACTGTTTTTAGACACCTTAGTTTTGAGGTAAGAAGTTCCACAGATTGTTTCTATATAAATGTAAATCTAAAAAAAAAAGTTGTTCAACTATTTTATTATCTTAGATTATATCAAAGTATTTGTTGTGTGTAGTTAGAAAAAACTCTGCAGACAATAAAAATGACAGACTAAAATGCAGTGTGGTTTATTTGGTGATGACTTACAATTTGGGATGGCAGAAAAATGGCTTTTTATATTGCAAAGGAGAAGTAAATAAGCAATTTACTTTTAAGTCGAATAAAAATGTGCGTTTATGGCTAGGGTTTATATGAGGCAGGTACGTTTCTATATTACTAGCAATTAGTATGTAACAGGTCATCATGTAGCTCAGAGGGATGTGGAATAATTAGACTGTTATTGTAAAACATGCATTTCACTTCAGCACTGTACAGAGTGAACGGAATGCAGGATCATTGCCTTTGGGAAACCTGTAACCTAGAAAGGACACAAATACATAAAACAGGTTCCCTTTGGGAGAGAAGGTAATTACCTAGTTTGAAATGTGGCAAAGATGCTGAGCTTGACACTTCGATTTTCCAAGACGTGTGTCTCAGGGTATTTTATGACAAGTGGTTAAGAGAACTTTACTTTGAGGATTTAAAGCACGCACCCTCCTCTGTGCATTTGCCTCTCACGGCTTCTAGGTGGCCATGAACTGGCTCAGAGCGCCACCTGCTGCTCATCACCTCTCAGCTCGCTAGTTCAAGAATGGCCCAATGAAAGACAAAAGATGTACATACTTTTCAATTGTTACATTAAAAAAATATTGGCAGGAGGAGGGTATAGCTCAGTGGTAGAGCATATGCTTAGCATGCACAAGGTCCTGGGTTCAATGCCCAGTACTGCCACTAAAAATAATAAAAATAAGAAATATTGGCAAGTACCAAAGAAGTCTGAGTGTGTGTAATTATCAAGATGTCAGAAACATGCATCTAATGCTACAATTAATTAACTGTGATATTCCTTTAAAAACCATCATCACTGAGGTTTGTTTGGTTATTTTCTTCTGGATGAGGAGAAATAATTGTGATGGCTCTCTTGGCCTGTAAACTAAGAGTGGCTGGGAAATTTGACTGCTTACGGTCACCTATTTAAAACAAATCTAATTATATTGCCTTTCAGCTCAGATGGTGGTAAGGGGCTGCCAGTGAGGGGATGTATGTTCTAAATCAACGAAGGGCAGTGGTTCTCAGATGGTGATCCCTGAACCAGCAATATCAGAATCACCTGAGAACTTATTAAAAGTGAAGATTCATGGGCTCCGTCCCAGACAAAGTGAGTCAGAAACGCTGGGGATAGGGGTTCAGCAGTCCAAGTTTTAACAAGCCCTAAAGATGATTCTGACTCATGCTCGAGCTTGCAAATGGCTGTTCTTGAACATTTCCCAGTTAGACAGATCATTTTCTCCAAGTTGTCATTACTTAATATTTGACCCAAAGGTTAATCACTGAGTAACTTTTCCACATGTAGACAAACCCTGTCTATCCATGGTGACCTATTTTGTCACTCAGCTAGCAGTTGTCATCTACCAGATCAATCCCAATTCAATCCACCATTTTTAACCATATTGTCATTAATAATAATAATAATAATAGATTTTAGTTATGTAAACTATCTTGTAGTATTAAGTAAAAATTAAAATGATTCTTGCCTTTGAAATGTAAATTTATTCTTAGTCTCCATGATAGTACAACATACATAAGGTTCCAGAACTCAGCCAATACCTTTGCCATCCTTGATAAAGCAATAATGAACATTTTCCATTTGTCAACAGCACCATCTTGTAGAATTGTGAATGCACAGGCAGAGTCTTTGTGGCAAGTCACCCGAGGGGCCCAAAGGTCTAACCCACAACTGACTTGAGAGGAAGGACATGTAAAGGGCCTTCATGAGGGACAGGTTCCCAGAGTCCACCCTGGTGGCCCTTGTCTGAGTGTGTAGCCCATTTGCCTGAGACCAAGAGTCAGGGAACCAGGCACCTGCTCCCTTCCCCAGTCCATGCCCTAATTCAGCATTTTGCTGGAACATCTTGCTTCCTCTCACCTTAATAATGTCTTATATCCTGAATCAGCTTCCTTTGATTGCTGTCTCTTGTAGAATCACTGCTTCTTACGGAATCTTGGAATTCTACCAAGTTACAACAGAGCAGTGGCTGGGAACTTTATCATCCGAGGACTTGGATTTGGATTGCAAGACATGTCTTTATTTACTTAACAAACATTTACACAGCACTTACCATGTGCCGGGCACTGTTGTATGGGCTGCACAAATATTAACTCCTTTAAGCCCCAGAACAGCCCTGTGTGGCAGCTTCTGTTTATTGTCATCTGCGTTGACTGCCAGGGAAACTGAAACAAACACAGGCTTAGTCACCCGCCTAAAGTCCTACAGCTAATACACGGCAGAAGTAGGCTATAACCACCTCACCCTGTGCCCTCAGCCTCTTTCAGACTCACCTCCCTGCACCTCTGATTTCTCATCGACAAAATGGGGAAGATGAATACCTTTCTACCCAGGTTATTTGAGAATAGTTGAGTTCAGCCTAGCCAAAGATGTACAATAAAGTACAACAATACAGGATTAGCACCATAATAAAGATATGTAAAAAAGTGCCAGGGAAACAGATAAGGGAACAATTATATCAGTCCACGGGTGTCTGTCTGGAGTAAAGAGGACAGCAAGGAGATGAGATGGGCAAGAGCAAAGACTCAGAGACCTTGACCTTGCAGAGCAAGAGGGCAGGTGAGCCCAGAGCTTTCAAGGTGGTAGCGGTGCTAGTGGTGAGCTTTGGCTGGAGAGAGGCTGAGCCCATAAGGGAATAAGCAAGGGAGATGAGGTTTTCCATAGTTTTGAGACTGAATGGCAAGTCAGGATCCAAACCCAGGAATCTCTGAGAGGCGGAGGGAGGGCTCAAGGGATGTACAGATGGGCCTGGAACATCTTACTACTCTAGGAATTAAGGAAGTGCTAAAAAAAAAAAAGATATTGACATGTCACAAGGAAAAAGAAGCCAGCTTGAAGGAACCCTCAGTGGCCAAATCTGGGGCAATTTGACTACCAAAATAGAATAGTAAGGAGTTATTAAAGCATTGAGGGAAAATAAGGATTTGTGAATTCATACCAATAACAAATAAATGGAGAGAAGAAAGGGCTCTTGTTTACAACAGAATCTTGAGTGCCAACTGGTAAATGCAAAAAGAGTATGGGAGTTGGAAAATCATCACTCTGCCATTAGCATAGTATAATGACAGAATCAGGCAAGAATCATCAATAGTTGGTAAATTTCAACAAAGAGCAGGATACTTGTACGGTCTTTAAGTGCCTTCTCATATATTTTTATTAGTTGCAAGCAGGGGAAATCAGTAATTACACAGTGGAGAAATTGGACAGCACCTTGAGCAGGTGGTCAATGAGGGGCAGATGGACAGTGTGTACCTCCAGGTGTGATTCTCTATCCAGGACACACGGTCACTGTTAGCATTCCGCCTGAGAATGCACGGACTGAATCTAAGTATGAGACTAATTACCAGACAAACTCAAGATGATGAACATTGTATTTTTAAAAAGGGAGGAGATGGACTGACTCTATTCTCAAAATGTCAGTGTCATAAAGAACAAAGAAAGGCTGTGAGAATTTTCCAGATTCAAGAAGGCAAAGGAGACCTGACTACTAAATCCAACACCTGGTCCTTTACTCCAGCACCAGAGGGGAAAAATGCTATCGAGGACATCACTGGGTCAATTGATAACATCAAAATATGAATGGTAGATTAGTTCAAATTATTGCACAAATGCTAAATTTATTGAGGTTGATAACTATACTGTGGTTACACAAGAGAATATCCCAATTTTTAGGAAACACACTGAAATATTTGGGACTAAAGGGTCATGACATATACAACTTATTCTCAAATAATTGAGAAAAATTTACATGCATGTGTGTGTATCTGTGTTGTGTGTATGGGAAGACAGAGAGAGGGCGGGGTGGGAGGAATAAATGGCAAAGCAAATGGGTAAAAAATGTTAACAGGTGAATCCAGGTAAAGGATATACAGATGCATTATGTTTCTTCTTGCAACTTTTCTATAAGTTTGACACTTCTGCAAATAAAAAGCTGTTTTTTTAAATTTAGAAATCTTGACTTTTTCTTGTTTGGGCTTTTAACTGAATGAGGAAAAGAATAGGAAAGCTAAAGAGAGGAAAAAGAGATATTCTATTATTTGCTTGTTACAATTTTAATGTATTTTTGACCTTAGAAATAGAGGTCATGTGTCTCAAGCCAGCAATTCCTTCCAAATATACACATATAATGTAAACGATGCGTTTAGGCGGATATACTTAGTGCCATTTTCTGAAGCAGGTTATTTCTCAACCTTATAAAATGAGCTTGCTACAAATTCTGCATTTCCTTTGAAATTAGGATCAAGATGTAATCACCTCGCTCTGAAATATGTGTATTAAAGGACTAGGAATCTAAGCTATAATGTTTTGCATGTAGATCTAAGAGTTGAGTTGAAAGAAGTTTCAAAGCACAAAAGTGACTTTCGTCCTCTACCAGTGGCTGTGTGTTAATTCTCCCAGAAAACCATTATTTCTCTGAGTTAATAGAATCTTTGAAGCTAAATCAAGTCAATTTCCATTGTCACATTGTGAAGCTTTTGAACTGGGCTCACTGAATTATCCTATTTGATGGCCACCTTGAAGATAGCTTTGTGGTGATTCTAAGAAAACCCCACAGCCTTTCCACCTGACCCGACCCGACTCGTTCTCATTACTTAATGAGCAGCTCAAGGCAAATGCCACCACCCCACCCCTTAGATAGATAGTAGATAAAATAGATATGAAGGCAACGTAATGCGATAGAAAGAACGTTGAAATGGAAATTGGGAACCTGATTTTGCCTCTAATTAGTGGTGTGCCTTTAGGCAGATCCCAGTTTCCTCATCTGCAAAATAAGGAGTTTATTATAGACTATCTCTAGGAACTTGCTAATCAAAATTTGGTTTACAGATGCGTGGAAATTGGGCATAAGCACTTGTAGTAGCCAGTCTCCAAGATGCCTCCAGTGATTCTTACCTCCTGGCTTCATCCTTGTGTGGTCTCCACCCACATCAAATAGGGCTAACCTAACCAA